TAAAATGACACAAGTGTGAATAGTTAAATGAGTGAACAGCAGGGACCTGAATCCTAGAGCCTACCAGGGGACATTGTTCTTTCTCTGCCTCAGCTTCCTCGTCTATAGGAGAGTGTAGTGATGCCTGCCCTCCAAGGTGGTCATATCCATTTGATTCAAAAGCCCGAAGTATCAGCAGGCCTCATAGCCAGAGAGACAATGGACCTCAGATTAAAACATTTGGGAAGGAAAAAAAAGTGTCATGTAGACATTTTTCTTGTCATTATTCCCTAAACAAACACATGATACCTACAGTTACTAGATACTATTACCAATCTGGAGGTGATTGAAAGCATGCACGAGGCCATGCACAGGTTGCATGTAAATATGACATTTTATGTAAGAGACTGAGGTGTCCATGGACTTGGGTACTCTGGGCAGGAAGGTTCCTGAAATCAATTCCCCACAGGCCCTGAGAGAAGATTGTTGTTGTTCCTGGCCACTCCCCCAGCTACATGACTGCACATGTGCTACCCAGTAGCCATGCAAGATGTTTAGTCATTCCAGGGCCTTACGTCCTATGTAATTCATGCACTGCATGATCACATAATTTGTGGCTGTGTGATCACATAATCTATGTGCATGCGTGGTGTAGCTACATAAGCCCATATGCACATGTATGGGGGGATCCATAGAAATTGGGTCACAGACTCCTCCCCCCTCTTCTTCCTCTCTCTCCTTGCAGGACCATTTCCATAGGCCTAAGCACATCTTCCCTTAATAAACTCTTATCGTGGGTTTCGTTGTACCTTGAGGCTTTTCTCACATGGTAAACAGTGCCGCTTAATGAATAACACAGTGCCACATAATAATAACAACTAACAATTGTCACCTGTAGGAAGGACGGGGACAGGACAGATACTAGATATATTCAGGAAACACTGGCTGCTATCACTATTATTTACACAGGGCCCCACGGAAGACTGAGGCAGGAGAGAAAGATAGAAAAATTAAGGACACAAAGAAAGGAAAATAAGCCTCTCACCCTAACTAGTCTGCGTTTCTTACAGGCTGGCAGTCAAGAAGCTGGATATAACCAGTAGAGCTGAGCTTGCTACCAAGGCAGGGCTCAGTCTCCAGAGGGTGGTGGAAAGAGCCAATGATGCTCTCCTGCGGCCAGAATGTGTGTGGGCTTGAGCCGCAGTCTGTTAGCACTCTTCTGGACCCCAAATATAAACACTGCATCTCAGGAGACCACCTTACAATTTTACTTACAAAAAAAAAATCCCCCAAATCCTTAAAATAAATGAGCAAACCAGCTCACACATTTTTAAACTTGACTTGACTTGTAAACTCTGTTTAAATCTTGTTGTAAATTACATTCTTTGAACAACGTAACTTTTAAAGCCCCATAATCATGTATACAGCCACCCAAAGACACTTTAGGGGGACTCTTGCTATTGAGAAGCCCACTCCCCTGTCTTGGGTGTGTGGTGTCCTTTCCCTGTGTGCCTCGCTGTCTCAGTCTCTTGGACTCACTCTGGCTGGTCCTGAAACACTTTTCTGCAGTGTAGTCAAGGAGCAGACGTTACCTGAGAAGAGGTGTCCATGGCACCTCCCTGCTCATGCTGATACTACTACTGACCTAACTCCCCAGTTTCTGACTCGTCTGTTTTGAAGATAGAGACGGAGTCTCACTAAGTAGTAGCCTAGGCTAGCCTTGAACTCCCCATGGGTTGTTTGGTTGGTCGTTTTGGTAGTGCTGGTAACTGAACCTGGGACACACGTTTGGCAAGTATCACTGACCTGTGTCTCATCCACCCCTGCTTGTTTGTTTTAATTGTGAAACGAAGTCTTGCCAAGTTGACCAAGCTGCCCTTTTAGCTGCAATCCTTCTGTCTTGGTCTCCCTGAGGATAGGGGGTTACAGACCCAGACCACCAGGTGCAGCTCTGGCCTTGAACTCTCATTTCCCCTGCTTCAGCTTCCTGGCTAGGCTTACAGGCATGCACCATCATAATTGGCCCCCTGACACGCCTTTTTTCTTTTTTAAAATTGCGTGCGTGCGTGCGTGCGTGCGTGCGACATTTGAGCAGATGCCCTTGGAGACCAAAGATCCCCAGTTGTGAGCTACCTTAAGTGGATGCTGGGAACCAAACCTGGGTCCCCTGGAAAAGCAATAATGTAACTGCTAAGCTATCCTTCTAGGCCCCTGCCCCCAGCAGTTCTTAAGAAGGAAATTTGCATATATAAGCTAACATATTTATTCTGAGCACCTGCCGTGAATCAGGCCCCTGATTATACAAAGCTGAAAAGCCAGGGCTAAAAGCACCGACTCTCCAACGTAACACTCATGGTTCTACCTGTGAAATGAGACTGAATCTCTCTTAATCTAGTCAAATCCCGAACTAAGAGCTGGAAGCTTCTCGGTCCTCGCCGGATCTGTACAGCAGCCGCTCACGAACGCCCTCAACGTCCCCCCATCTCCAGTGAAAGCCGGGAAGACGGAACCACGGGGTCATTTTTAGCAGTCAACTAACCTGACAGCTGCTAAAGTCCAAAGTAGGTACGAATCAGTCTAGAATGCTCTCCTGTCGGTTCTCCTTTCTGACTTCCCCATCTCACAAAGGATAAACCAGCAGACCTTGATGTGTGAGTCTTCAGGACCTCTCACTACCACAACTGCATGCAAAACACTTGGTTCCTCTCCAGACAGCCCCTGCCTTTCCTCCTCGGTCTGCTCAGATCTATCCACGGTCTGCCTTCCATCCCCCCTCATCTGGTGAAGCGGGCCCAGCAGAGGCTGCAGGCAGCACTCAGGCATGCTGCAGAGTAGTATTTGTAGATGTAAGCTCCTAGGCTCCCCAGAGTGGGCTAGGGAGGAAAATCCATCTTCTGACGCCGACCTGCCCTACTGATGAATTTGTAAACAAATACCCACACTTTGGTGAGACAAACTGCACACTAGCTGACCTTAGAAAGATCAAATGTAAGTATGCAAAACAGAATAAAGCCTATGAACTTAGAAAGACAAGTCAAATATAAAAGTAACAGTAGACATCAGGCCTAAAATACCAAGACTTTATCGCAAAAAAACTCATCAAATAAAAATCACAAGTAGCTGAGCAGTGGTGGCACATGCCTTTAATCCTAGCACTCAGTAGGCAGAGGCAGGCAGATCTCTGAGTTTGAGTCCAGCCTGCTCTACAAAGCAAGTTCAGGACAGCCAGTGCTACACAGAGAATCCCTGTATCAAATAAAAAAACCAAACAGACAAACAAAAAAAAATCACAAATAAATCAGATGTATCTTAAAGCAACCACATTACTAAAATGATAGTGATCAGGCTAAATTACAAGCAGCTTGCATAAGTAATTGAAGTTTGTGTTCTTGCACCATTCAACAACTTTTTATCTCTTCTCCAGATTTCTTGGCTCAGCATCTATAATCACCATCAGTTTTCTCCCAGCATCCTTTGCAGTTGAATTTCTATCTCCAATGCCTATGCACATTCCACTAAATCAGGAGTCAGGCCTTCTGGGTTCCTGCTGGCTGCCCGGAGAATGCCTGAGGTGCCCTGCTTTCAACTTCCTCCTGATGGCCTCCTCAGGAGTAACCCCCATTGTGTGCTATCAGCTTTCCTGTGTACCCAGTGCTTTGCTCTGGAATCCCAACACCATGCAGGCTGAAGGGCAGAGATGATCCAGTGACGTGAAGTCATCCTGCCAATGATAGCAGCACCACCACTGTGGGGTGTGGGTGCTCCGGCCCCTAAGAAAAGCCACTTCCACTTCGTGTGTGTGTGTGTGTGTGTGTGTGTGTTTTCAGGAATGTCAGTGCTTTCCAAAAGCATTTGAGAGCCCCCTACTGTGAAGGAGCCCAGAGTGTGTACACACCCTTCACCCTTACTACTGTGAGCCACCAGCCAGGCCAGCCAGCCCTTGAGTTTATTTGCAGTGGGTATACAGAGCTCCCCAGAGACTGGCACCTTCACTGGTCCATGCTAAACCCCTTCTCTTCTGCCAACAAGTGAGTTCTGCTTCCTGTTAAAAGATCCAAAGGTTAAAAAAAAAAAAAAAAGTACATTCACTAAAATCTGTAGAAGTGGAGTCAATCAGCAAACAATATAAGTAATACAATTTATCACAACGAATTTCACCGGTTGGAGGGTGGGGCTAGAGTCAGGAAGAGCAGAGCGAGCTACCCAGCACCTGCCTCCTGCCTCGGGAAGGCTTTGCCTGTCACCAGGAGGGCAAAGGGGAAGGGTGGGAATCGCAGCAGGCAAGCCACCAGTCAGTCTGGTAGCCACGCCCACAAGCCCAAGGACAGCTGTTGTACATGGGGATGATGTAGCTGCTGCACTGCTGACAGACTCTAGCCTCCTGAACACGCACATACGAAACAATGCCTCCTGTCTTGAAGCTGGGCCTG